GTGCAAGAATTGCCCTGCCAAAACCAATGATGCCCTGCAGCAAATTTTTATTTCTGGCCACTATTTTTCCCAAAAATGTTGGCGAGCGGGGGATTGAAAGAATATTTTCCGTTCATTAAAAAAAGGGTCGAAAAATTTTTCCGGAAATAAACCAGTTAATTAAATTAAGAGTCAAAAAATTTTCCGTAAAAATTCCTGTTAAAACATGGGCAAAACCCTTATTTTTGGACCAATATCTGTATAATTTAGGTCTATAAATTCTATTCAATTCCCTCTGAAAGCCCTGTAAATTACTTATTAATAATAACTCTACATTCTATAATTTAAAATCTTTGATTGCCCTGCCAATCTAGATGATTCGCCCTGCCAATCCAGATAATTCGTATTTTGGGAGAGTGTCAACCCCTAACCCCGCCACCTCCCCATACCCCCCTCAAGTTTCGACCCTGCATGAATATGGACATTAATATTCATTTTATACTGAACTACGATGAAATACGATGGTCGATGGAGCTATGGCAAAATGTGATGGAGCTACATGTACAGCGAAATGCGATAGAGCCATGGCAAAATGTGATGGAAACATGGCAAATTTGATACAATATTCCTGGCATTTTCATTAAATAAAATTGCATGTTAGATTAAAAATGTATTAATTTTGTTAAATTTCAAATAGATATCAAGGTATACGACGATATACCTGAGTACGGATTCAATGACACGCAACACCTTACTAGTATCGATACTAAAATAACCATGGATAAGAAAAACCAGCTATCTTTTTCCTTTATCTCCATTTCTTTATTTTTTCCACTCTTTTTGTCCGCCATCTTTGAAAGAATTAACGGCGCGTGCCAGTCGTAAAAATTTTCGATAATTTGTCTTTATTATCTTTTTGTAATGGTAAAATTTCAACGTTTAGAACGAAGCCGCTTAACTTTTAGTTTTAAAGTTAGTTGAAAGCAGTGATAGAATGAGATAATACATTGTTAATAAACTGAATATGTTTGTGAATATGTTTAGCATGTTTTAATACAGTAGGACAATGTTTAATAGCAGCTGATCGATGGGAACACTGCTGGGGGGAATAGCCTGTCAAAATTATATGCGAATCGGGTGAGGTCACTTCCAGCTTCAAAATGGAGTGCCTGTCATCTGGTGCAATGTTTGGGAACTTTAAAGATTCATTTGGATATTCCAACCTCAACAGCTCACGTCTTTCTAAAATAGACTTTGAATCAAGCCTTTTCAATGGCGTTGTACTCTCTTATTGGGATAATATTATAGGTCCAAGACTAGGCCATCTTTGGTTGCAGTGCGAGGAAAAATGCACGGAGGACAGTGTCAAATATGTAGTCACACACAATTTAAATGGTGAACTGACGCGGCAAGCACCGCCAAATGCTGTAGATACAAAAATTTTTATCATCAAAGAACGTGGTCTGGTGTTTTCGTCTTACATATTCACTGGTATTTCCAAAGGAGCCGGAGAAACATTGTATTCATTAAGCTTGTTACTTCCGTTTTCTGCTTTGAAAGAATACATGCAGTATCAGGAGTTAGTTGATGTTAGAATGAAATTACTTGTAGCTAAATTCAGGGTTTTACAAGAGAAGGTATGTGATGGAATATGTTTAGGGACTGTCAATAATTCATTTTTAATCATGATCTTAGTCCAAGCTTGCTTTGACCCCCTGCCATTGTGGACCGTCAATCCAGGTTGGAAAACATTAAGGCCTGTTTACAATTTTTGCTGTGATTTTAGGTACAATTTTGTTCTTCTGATGGATGTGAACGAGTGGATAAGCTATGAACCTTCAGATGAGGGTATACATCTACTCAGAACATTTATCACTCATCTACTCATTCACATGCATCAGAAGAAGAAAATCGCAGCGAAAATCGCAGCGAAAATCGAAGTGTAAACAGGTCTTTAGGAATGTGCCGGATAGTCTTTTGCCAGATAACGAATAGTAGCAGGTAGTGGGAAAATGATAACCGGATACTGATTGTTTTTCTCATAATACCTGGTTGCTCTGAACTCACAAACGTTATGTATAGTTCATTGTTTTACTATGCACCTTATCTCTTTATTACACTGACCTGAAATGTCAAGTGTGTTAAATCCCTAATTTTCTGTTTTCTTCTGTTTTCTTCATCGTCGAGAAATAGACCTTTCCGGTAATTACGTCACAACTACACAGTTTTCAACTTAGGACCACCTTAAATGGAATGGATTTTAAGTTTGTTTCTCACAGGCTGTGGTCAGAGAAGCAGAACATCCTTCGTCAACACATGCATAAAAAATAATTTTGGATTTTGACCAATAAATGTGGAAATAAACTCAAACACGAAAACAAGGCTGAGGGGGCAAGAGGGGCTATGGCGCTTCAGCCTCGTTTTCGTGTTTAAGCTTATTTCCAGATTTAATAGTCAAAATCCAAAATTTTTTTATGCATGTGTTGAAGAATGATGTTCTGCTTCTCTGACCATAGCCTGTGAGAAACAAACTTAAAGTCTATTCCATTTAAGGTGGTCCTAAGTTGAAAACAGTGTAGTTGTGACGTAATTACCAGAAAGGTCTATCGAGTTTGCGTTAGCATTTCCAGTGTTCCAGTCGTTCCAGTTTACTATACAGATCAGTTTTCAAGATGGAGGCCATTCAATGAGTGACTATTTCGGTTATCGTTCCATGTTTCGCGCACCAATATAGGTTTAGGGTTAGGGTGTGTATATATGTATATGGAGGTATCCAGTTGACTTTGCAGTACACAATAATATCCATTACATAACGTTTACTATATTGGTGCGCGAAACGTGGAGCAATTACCACTATTTCAATCTCAAACAATTTCTTCATTTGTCAACGAATTTTACCGCTTTTTTCTGTGGATTTTGGATCTATAGTTGACTTGGCGGGTTTTTTTTCGTGCAACGTCTCTGGAAATGCGGTATCTGAACAGCTGAGTTTTTCGAATTTTATACGTTTATACGGACTCACAGAATGTAAACAATGTTGTCTACGTTAGCGCATAGCATGCTCAGAGACCATGAGCATTTATGGATAACGTTTGTATTTGTGAGTAATACGTAAGTTTGTAAGTTTGTGTTTCATTGGACATTACGAAAACATCTCCTGAGGATCACGCCACGCTTTTAGCCTTTCACGCTTTGCGTTTGCGGTTCACGATTTGTATTCTTGTCTATTGCACCATAGCACGTATGTCGTCATTTTCAGGTCAGTGTGAACGCCAGAGCAGGCGTCTTGTTTAAGAAATAGAAAGCGACTCACATGCAATTTATGCCTTATGGTGCACACACAAGGAATGTTGGGAGAAAACGATAGCGAGCTTCTCGAGTATTCTCCCAACATTCCCCGAATGTATTATCATGTCATAAACACACAAGCCAATTTTGTCTATTTCTTTTATCATATAAGAAGATGATATTACCCAATAAGCAATCTTAATTCGATTTTAAAATTCTCCTAGCATGTAATCAGTGACGTCATGTGCATGCTTTTACTCATTGCTTAAGGTGGAGTAATACGAGCAACAAAATCACTGCAACTTGCAACAAAATCTGATTTCTACGCATGTTTATAATTGAAAATGTTTACACATACATTACAAATCACAAGGCAACATGTGTCAACATTTCTAGTTAACTTGCGTTGAAATCAGATTTTGTTGCAAGTTGCAGCAATTCTGTTGCTCGTATTACTCCAGCTTTAGTAACAAACTTGAATTTTCAGGCAGGAATGAAAAACACATATCGTACATTTTTGAAATTAAACAGGGGGGAACTGTTTAATTAAAAAAGACCAAAAAGAAACCATCCTGATAAGGAGACGAATTTGCTGTAAAATAGTTTTGCTGCATCTTGCAAGCCAGATTTAGCACTGCAAAATCCACATCAAGTTGTTTTGTTTTCATGCTGAAATTATCATTAACAGTGAACCAAAATATACCAGACAAGAACCATGAAGAAGAATAATAATAATAATAATGGCTTTATTTGTAGTACATCCACGAGGTGGCTCTTCGCCTACTAATTGCAAATGCAAAAAATATATACGACTATGTACAATACGTTAGGAAATAGTAAATATAAGTAATCGTATATAACTACAGTATGTACATGCTAAAATATATATTACAGTATGATATTTATATAATTAAGAAGTTCTCTCTGCTAGGTGGATTTTAACTTTGCTCAAGAACTGCGCAAAGTTACTTTCGCAAAGTACCTGCCTCCCCGATATCTATCTGCGAAAATTCACTCGAATCACAATAAAAAATCACTAAAATCTCGGAATATAAAAAATATATTGATAAACTCTCGCTGTTTTTTCCCGCTCTCTGGCTCGTACACATAATTAGTATTCCATGTGCTCGCTTGTAGCACACGCGAGATGTCCACGCAATTAACCGCTCAGTCCTGACATCACTGCAGTTTCTGAGTTCAGCAGGAAGTTTATTAAAAACCTGTGCCGCTTGATCTTGGAATGTCCCTATCTCTAGTTTGCTCACTAATTCTAATCTTGGAGCAGTTAGTGACCTCAAACTATAGAATTGTACAATATATTGCTTCAATTTTATGGGAGAGACGAGAATCCTCAGAATATATCGACTTATGTGCTAATTTTGCAATACTATATTTTAAGCGTTCTTCAGATCCGCTACTGTGGCATACCTCGACAGCACTGTATTACTATCAGTACGTAGCCTGCGCACATGTTCTGCACCCTATATGTAAACGCTTTAGCTGATAATCTGGGACAGCGCTGAATAGTGAATACTACGTTACAATAATCCAGCTTGGGCAGGACCAAGCTTTCAACCAGCCGCTTACCAATATAAAACGGCGCCAGACATTTCAAGCTTGACCTTTGCCTTTGGTTATGAAATGAGTTCACTTTTCCACCAATCGCATTGCAGAATTACGCAGTTTTGTTTTAGTCTTGAAAAGGTTTCATGCATGGACCAATCAAATTAAAATATCAAGAATTGATTTCCATTTTTAGCCAATCACATGCGTTGTTTTTAATGAGGCTGTCAACAGCTTTTAATTTTCACATATCGATACTGTACCCTGTCACATTTCATGCAGCACTCGGATTTCATACAGCGCTAGCCGAAGATATGTCAGGCAGTTTTTATTTGAAGCATTTAAGGTACTTTCCTAGTGAAGTTTGTTTAACTTTTGTAACCTTTTTTTCTATTTTTTGCGTATTCCTATAGCTTTTTGAAGTTTTTCTCGGCTTCTTTAATTCAAACGGAAAAGCAGCTATGAAACGTTCATTTTATTGCTTCTTGTCCCGTTGTCTCTTGTTGGCTGCTTTTGCAGTTAATTTTGAATTCGAACTATTCTTTCTTGCTTTCTAACAATTTTGGATTTAAACCTCTCTCTATAATTCCTTTCACATCATTTTGCTAAGAAACTGGAGAAAAGCAAGAAAATCGGAAATTTTGGTCTTATTTAATTCAAAATCCTTTTTCGTAGTCTTACGTACAGTAATTCAAAGTCCTTATTTCAATCACATAACTGTCATGTAATCCAATGAGCATTTATACTGGAGGGCGGGGTGCATATCTTTTTAGGTGGGGTGGGAAAACGTTCTGGTGGGGTACAAAATAGTTTTGGGGGTGTGCACCCCCTACCCCCCCCCGTCCCAGAAAATCTGTCTATAGAAATTAGTACTGTAGTGCATCGTTAGACCATATAATGATACTAAAACTGTCTGTACCAGTGTAGGTAGTACCAATGTAGAAATGCTGTGCTGAGTGGTTATATTACTACCTTAAAAAATAAGCAGAAACTCGACGTTTCGAGCGAAGGCCCTTCGTGCGAAGCGAAGGCCCTTTCAAGCGAAGGCCCTTTCAAGCGAAGGCCCTACTAACTCTTGACGAAGGGCCCTCGCTCGAAACGTCCAGTTTCTGCTTATTTTTTAAGGTAGTAATATAACCACTCAGCACAGCATTCATATAATGATACGAATGTATCGCTTATAATATGATATAATAATGATAATAGACGGCACTTGGACACTGTACACCTCCTAATTTCTCATCCAATTTTCATCTAAATGCAATCAATTTGTCGACCTTGGGCATTGTCTTTTTGTCCCACAAATTTTCGTATTAAGTTAGCGTGCTCACACACACAGAAAGTCAGGCATACATACAAATGCGGATGAAAACATGCTATTTATAATTCTATAATTCTTCTTAATGAATGTGTTATATTCAATATATTGTCTATAATATAATATTATTTTTGCAGGACCTTTTGACTTCAATTCCTAACTTTTCCAAATATTTACCCAGCCTAGTTGGCATGGTTTCATCGCTTCATCTACATGGCTTATCTAGTATGTTTTCTGTAAGTAAACTACAATTAATATCGTAAATTAAACAGTACAGTTCGGAGTAGTAATATAGGTACCGTTCGGGCCCCTTTTTTGTGGTGGTGGTGTGTGGTGGTGGTGGATTTTTTTGGTGGTGGTGGTGGAGTTTGAGGTGGTGGGGCGGAGGAGGGGTGGAAGAGGGGCGGAGGCCGATCCATCCGCAATTTTGGGGCGGAGGAAGGGCGGAAGAAGGGTAGCGCATCATTAAAAATTCAGGGCGGTGCATCATCATTAGCATACATCATAATTATATGCAAATGACGTCACGCGGGCAAGTTTGGGCAAGTAATGACGTCACGCGCTGACTAAGCATTTTTTAGCGTCGCTCCACGTGTGCGATACAATAGAGGGATTAAGATTGGCTTATTATGAACTTTTATACAAGTGTCTGTATAAAATCGACATGAGGTTTCTGACAGTTCTGCATGTATAAAAGTATGAAATAGAAGTTAGTTTTTAAAATCTACCGTTAGCTCAGTTGGTAGAGCAAACGACTGTAGTTATTACCAAATCAGTATTCCTTAGGTCACCGGTTCGACCCCGGTACGGTAGAAAACTCTTTTGCCTTACAACCATGTAGCACGTTGTGAGTCCCAATCCCTCTCTTATTTTCAACACGCAATTGAAATTCGTTTTAATTATTTTAAGTTTCCAACCAGAAATAAAAAATCGCAACATATCTCAAAACCGAACTAAGCAGTTGCTAAGTTAACATGGTTGTCACCGTCGTTGTTATGGTCAATATTTGCATGTTGTTCAACGTTATTTAACAAACCTCCTACATACATATATACTGTTACATGATGACCGAGTCAGATCATAAGAAAGCTTATCAAGAATACTTAAAGGAAAAAACGTTTAGAACAGTTGTAATATATTTTGCGATAAAAGTATTTTTTTATCAAATATGTTGTCGTTATATACGTTGTTATGTGTTGGTAAGTCATTAGGAGGCGTGTAGGTAATTAAGGGATTAAGGCAATACGAATTTGCATAACTAAGTGTATCCCAATGGATAGATAGGGATTAATTAACACAGGTGTAAGCCTTAAAATCGGGCGCGAGCCTTTGCGGGCAAAAATTTAAACAAGATTTCATTTTTAAAATACATTTATTTCTTCAAAATAGAGTTCTCATATTCTTGTCTATCTTCTGGGGATAACTTCGCAAGTTTCACCGGCTTCATTGGAATATATTTTGGTCAGTCGCTCAATATAAAACGTTCATAATCCTCTCTTGCTTCCGGAGTCATTCGTGCTAGTTCACGTTCGGTCCAATCTGCTGGGTCGACCCAATTGTGGAAAAAGTTGCGCTTGAGTTTTGGCCGTTCCTCTTCTGTTCGTGGTGGCGTAAGGAAATTAGGTTTTGGAGTACTGGCACTGGTGGTGCTATTTCCGCTGGTACAGGCATAGGCAGCACTTGTGGTATCTCTGCAGGCGCTTGTGGGATACTTTGAACAGAGGTTTCAGGAATTCCAGGAGAAGAATGAACCATCTTATTTTTGAAGGTCAAAAACCGATTTAGTTGATCAGAATATAATTTGCTTTTTTCCACGGCGCTAAGCTGTGGCGCTTCCATGATTTCTTTCATTCTCTGTTCGGTATCATACATGGCGTTTACAAGTGGTGGCAATCTCGCCGGGAAGTACGTTGGTCTTGAGTCGTTGTTGGTCGTCTGCTGTTGGTTTTAAATCCAACATCAAATACCCGCGAGGCCGGCTCGTAGCATCTTCATAACTCCTCACAAACTCTTGTACTTTCCCGGGATTTATTTGCCTTGCAAGCATAGAAATTTGTTGTTTATCTCTTGGTGACTTGAACAACACGATATAATGAGCATTAAAACTGATATTTCTCATTTCTTTGCCGTGATGAAATATATTTTGGACAATATAGATGATAGACAAATTTCGATGATGGCTTCCTTTCGTAAAAAGATCAGCAATACGTTTATCTTTGCCAGATTGAGCCATAAGGTCGTCCAATACGATCAAATTCCGTTGAGATACGTCCAAGTAATCTGCGTTGTCGATGTCTTCGGGGACGCCTTGATTAAACTCGATTCCAGGCTTCGTTCGCATCATCAAAATAGGAGGGTTGCCATTGACCATAACACCAAATGATACGTTGAGGAGCAGGACTTACAGTTTCTGTGCATTCTCCAAGAGAGATTTCACCCATACAGTCTTACCGCTTTGGGTACACCCTGCAACGATGCATGTAAATGGGTGTTGCAAAACTGCAGATCCATTAGTCGCCATGCGAATGTTGTCGGTTGATTTTTGATCATGCACTTTTCGTTTGTGTCGATGTAAATTAAACGGTTTAGAGAAATATTTTCCACAGATATGGCATGAATGAGACATGTTTGCTCTATGACGAATTGTTAGATAATAAATCTTTCAAATAAAAACCGAGTTTATATAACACAAAGCCCAGCTAGTATCTCGGAGCCAACTCCCTAGGCTCGGACCCAAGCTCCATAGGCTCCGAGCAGAGGCTCCATAGGCTCGGAGCCAGCTCCTTAGGCTTGGAGCCGAGCTCCCTAGGCTCGGAGCCAGCTCCTTAGGCTCGGAGGCAGCTCCTTAGGCTCGGAGCCGAGCTCCTTAGGCTCGGAGCCAGCTCCTTAGGCTCGGAGGCAGCTCCTTAGGCTCGGAGCCGAGCTCCTTAGGCTCGGAGCCGAGCTCCTTAGGCTCGGAGCCAGCTCCTTAGGCTCGGAGCCAGCTCCTTAGGCTCGGAGCCGAGCTCCTTAGGCTCGGAGCCAGCTCCTTAGGCTCGGAGGCAGCTCCTTAGGCTCGGAGCCGAGCTCCTTAGGCTCGGAGCCGAGCTCCTTAGGCTCGGAGCCAGCTCCTTAGGCTCGGAGGCAGCTCC